GTAATGATAAAAGAATATACAAAACAAGTGATGCACAATGCAATTGCTCACCACCTGCCGACCGATGCCCAGACAGTTCCCAAGCAGTGGTCACCCCTCCCCCAGCCAGCTCCCCCCAGTTCATATCCTGAGCATGACGTCACATGGTATGGAATATCCCTTTGGCCAGTTTGGGTCAGCTGTCCTGGCTGTGCCCCCTCCCAGCTTCTCACTGGCAGGGCATGGGAAGCTGAAAAGTCCTTGACTAGCATAAGCACTGCTTAGCAACAACTAAAACATCGGTGTGTTATCAACATTGTTCTCATCCTAAATCCAAACCACAGCACTGTACCAGCTACTAGGAAGAAAATTAACTCTATCCCTGCCAAAATCAGCACACATACTTCTGGCTACCATGTTTCTTTTCTGGTGGATGGTTAATTATCTAGCAATCAAATCAAGTCAAATCAAATCAAATCAAATCAAATCAAATCAAATCAAATCATTCTTCTTTGTCATTCCATCATCTTCAGCCGTGTGATGAATATATCACTCTCAGATCCTCATAAACTACAGTCTTCTGCTGATAAGCTACACGCTAAAGAAAGACTTCAAAAAATGTTGACACAAATTGTGGAGAAAAGTAACACAATTTCAGTATGTGAAGGAGAAAATAACCTGACTCTTGTAGGAACTGATTATCTCTACATATTTAGTACACTTTTAATTAAAGACTAAGAATGATTATCTCCTCAAATAAAACAATGATTACGGTGAGGTATAACCATCATCCTATCAGCTTTAATTATCCCAGTGCTTCACGCTTATCTTTTCCTGCCACTGACATATCATCTTGAGCTGTGCATATCAACAGAAATGTTATACTTTTTTGTACTGTTCTGTTACTCTCAGCCATGACAGCTGTTTCTGTTTCCTCAGTGATACGTGTCTTTACATTCCAAAATGAAGCATTTATGAAGTGTCTTTCTGGCTACTGGGATACTTGAAATGAATAACTCCTGTTTAATTTTCAGTGAAACACATTATCCTGGTGTCCTGAATTGTATTAAAATCATGGAGATACCAACAAGAAAATGATCTCTGCATTCTTGATAATAATAGATTTATTTTCCATGCTAATTTAATGCTCTACTTGGAAAAGGAGGTAATAATTTTGTATGCGTTTCAGGATATTGTTGATCTGCACTGTCCTCTAAATGGTGCAATTGTGATTTTCCATGTATCCATTTAAATACTGCTAGATGTCAAAACCAAATTTTTCTTAAAAGTGTGTTCGATCTCTGCATTCTTGATAATAATAGATTTATTTTCCATGCTAATTTAATGCTCTACTTGGAAAAGGAGGTAATAATTTTGTATGCGTTTCAGGATATTGTTGATCTGCACTGTCCTCTAAATGGTGCAATTGTGATTTTCCATGTATCCATTTAAATACTGCTAGATGTCAAAACCAAATTTTTCTTAAAAGTGTGTTCATTATTTTTCGTGTTCATTATTTTTCTTTAAATTAAAACTCCAAACTAACTGTCCCCAAACATTGTAAAATTTATTGTATTAAGCTGATCCTAGACTTTACTTTGACTTAAATGAGATGTTCCTTTTTATTTTTAGATTGCATAA